ACTGGTGGGCTTGGATTGAATGCCATAAAATGTGTGTCTTACCTGTCTTACCCTCATTGGACACCAATTGGTTTTTCAGATGAGATGGCACGGCCCAATCCAACACGAGGAAAGAGCTGTTTGGAAAGTATTTGTTTTTCAACAGCTCATAACCCAGCATGCAACTTCCAACTCTGTTCTGCCAAGAGAGGTAGATTAAACGCCTCAAAATTTCTAAACCCTTGCCCACGGTCCTTTGAAGAGCACAACACATCCCATTTGGTCCAGCGTAAACTTTTCTTAACCTCATTTCCACCCCACCAAAAATCACACACCAATTTGATATATATAGAGAATGGCTCCACACTCTCTTTGTTAGCTTAACATAGCATGGGTAGGAATTGCCAAAAAAATAGATTTTATTTGCACTTATTTTCCGAGAGAAGTTGTTCTTCCAACATTATAGCTTTCTTTCATATGTTCACTCAACTTCTTCACAATGAAAGTTGTTCTCCCTCTTTAACCTTTCAATTATAGCCGGAAGTCCAACATTATAGCTTTCTTTCATATGTTCCATATTAATCCCCAGTTGTGAACATAGACTTTGCCCCCAGAGAAGTACTTGAATTCGGCTAAAAAACACTATGTTATTCATGACCTGATTTATTCTTGTATTTCTACTGTCACACACTTGGTTGTTAGTAATGGATGCTGTCATGGACTCATCAAACCTACCAATCAAGTAGAAAATTGCGAATTTTTATCACCCAACTTTAATCAATCAACTCTAGATTTCTGTCTTCAGAAGAGTTCTTCCTCACTCCAGGGATCACACAGATGCTTCCTGTTTTTCTAAAGAACTGATTCCTTTTTTTAAAGAGGGTAGGATTTGTATTGAGTAGAAGAAAACTAAATAATGAGAGTCTGCTGCTGAAATATGAGCATCACATGCACTATCAAGCAATCCTCCTCTACCATTATCTCAAGTGAAAGGATGACCTTGAAACTTGAAAGCCTAAATCCATGAATTGTCTAGTGTCCACCATTCTTCAGAAATTCCTTAGGCATGCATGGTTTGACGAGAGGGCTACACTCGCATAGGTTTCAACCTTCCACCTCTCTTCTTTCATTTATGCAAAATTTCATTGAAATCACCCATTACATGCATGAGTTTCAAGCTGTTGTAAAACTGACTTTTCCATAAGGATGCAACAAAACACAAAACAGAAAAAGAAGACTAGGAAAGAGAACTACGGGATGACCAAGAAATAGAAATAAACTCCAAAGATGATGTGAATCAAAGAGCCTAGGAACAAAGAGACACTAAACCAAATGATGATGAACGAAAAGACCCTAATAATAGAGATACAAATTAGCAGATATAGAAAGCAAATGCTACACCAACACTACAAGGTAAACAAACTAACAAGAAACAAAAATGTGCTCTTCCAATGACAATGGGTAATGGGATAAATGGTATTGATCTTATTTTGTAACGGCCCACTCTATCACACAAAGAAGACTACTCATCTATTTTCTTATCCTTTCTTTCTCATTTTTTATCTATAAAAGAAAAAATATATATTTATTTCTAGCTTCCCTGCCCCACTCATTTTTTTTTATCTATAAAAGGAAAAAATATATATTTATTTTGATCATAAAAAATATATCAACATCTAATTCCAAAAAAAAAAAATTGTGGAAACCTTTCTATTTTAAGCTGTTTCAAAATAAATGTGCTTTTGAAATTGAAATTGTAGTGGTTATGTGCGGGACCCACGAAGAGGGTGATTTGGTTTGATTATATCTGTGTGGTGTGGTGTGTTGTCTGATGGAGGTAGCAGCCAGTCAGGGAAATGAAAAAGAGAGATATTTGTGATTGAGTAGGTCTCACTAGTTAGATTTTTGGCCAAAATTCTTGGTATGCACGTGGCTGAATTGATTAGTATTTTAAAAAGTGATATATATATATATATATATATATGAAGATGAGGAAGGAAAAGTAAAGTATGGGTAATGACGAATGAAGTGGTACGAGTCCCACTAATGTGACTTTGTGGGCTTGTGGCCAAAAAATTTTTGGCCTTGGTTATTTTCTTCACGTGGCATGTTTTTCTTTAATGGCTAATGTAAAAAGTAATGGAATGTAATGATGAGTAATGCTTTTGAAGAAGTCATTTGTATTCCGTATTCTTATTTTGTTTTAATTTGAGGGATTAATATTGTTTCAATAAAAAATGGTATTGTTTATGATCTTTAAAGTATTTAAATTTAAATAAATTCAAAATTTTATTCAAAATTTTCCAATCGTTACGAAAAGAGTATCAAAGTCTGTACTTAGTCAAACGTGCGAGACGAATGAAGTGGTACGGGTCCCACTAATGTGACTTTGTGGTCAAAAAGTTTTTGGCCTTTGGCTATTTTCTTCGACCTGACCATATTTTTCTTTGATGGCCGATGTAGAAAGTAATGGAATGTAATGATGACTATTGCTTTTGACCAAGTCATTTATATTCCGTATTCTTATTTTGTTTTTATTTGAGTGGTTGATATTGTTTCAATAAAAAATGGTATTGTTTTTATGATACGAGTGTATAATGAATTATTTTAAAGTATTTAAATTGAAATAAATTGAGAATTTTATTTGAAATTTTTGAATCGTTACAAAAATAGTATCAGAGTCTGTATTCAGTCGAAAGTGTGAGTGCAGTGATGGTTTAGATGGGTGTGAGTGGGTGAGTGTGTGTGGACGGATGGCGTTCACTGGTGATTAGTTAGTGTGATTGGGTAGGTGGCCGGGATTTGTTATTGTTTTTTTATGGATAAGTGACGCATCGACTAATTATCACAACGGTTACGGAGTGTGTGGACGGATGATTAGCATTGACTGCTATCACAATGTCTTACATATCATGATATTTCACATTGCCTGGGTAAAAATTTATGAATTTTATTGTGTGATTATTGATGTTTTTGATTGTGTAAAAATTGTTAGATTTGAATTTCGAAACAAAATTTTTTTAATTGGTGAAGAACGTGACAACTTAAATTTTTAAAATTTTTATTTAAATTATATTTCATGATTTTTTTAGTCAAGAGATTGAGATTGTAGTGGTTATACGCGGGATCCACGAAGAGAGAGATTTGGTTTGATTGGTTAGTTATATTTGTGTTGTGTGCTGTTTGCTAGAGGGATCAAAATCGTCTTCGGCGCAACAGTAAATCTGTTGCAGCCGGTGCACAGTACATGAACAGTAAATCGTAGATGAACAGTAAAACGCGTTAAAAAATAATGAACAGTAAAAGCGTATAGTATATATATTTGGATACTGCCTGTTATAGATACTACCTTCTATATTATACGTATGGGCCCACCAAATAACAAGAAAAAAGGGGTAAAACTTAAGTTTCATTTCAATTTCAAAAAGGCCTGTGATTTTTTTTTTTTCATATTTTGATCTTCTTCGCCTCATTTCAGTTGCCTTTTGTCTCTCCCTCTCTCTCTCTCTCTCTCTCCCTCCACAATCCCAATAGAAAAGTGATCACAGAGTATATTGTGATTCATTTTTTTCTCATCACAAAATTAGAAGGCTAACTTTGTGAACTGGTTGAGGGGGTTCGTTTGGATCTAAAGGCAAAGTTGAGGCATGTTGTAAAGATGATCATTTTTTTTCTCTTCACAAAGTAGAAGCTAAACTTGTGGACTTGTTGATTCTCTTCTTTGGAAGTGAAGGCAAAGTTGAGGAATTTGGTAAAGACTTTAAAACAACACATTCTCTACAACTGACTGATATTGGGTATGTTTTTTGGTTTTAATTTTTGGAGTCTATTCAATGATCTATCTGTTATTTTTCCCTAATAAAAGTTGAGTATAATATTTATGATCGACTATTGATTCTAAATACTTGTATGAATTGATACAGTGAAATAAAGTAAAATATGAGATTTTGTATATATATATCATTGGGTAGGCATGTTAGAACAGAGTTGGGACGTTGAAGTATTGGAAATAGGGATTGATTAAATTAACACGTTGGGATGTGCTGTCAATATACTTTTTTGGATTATTCAATTCAAATTAGTTCTTCCTTTTTTGTTTTGTATAATTATAAATGTTAGATTTGTTTTTGAAGAGATACGTGTATCAATTTATATGTTGAAATATAAATTTCATTGATCAGGCATGTTAGAACAGAGTTGGGATTTTGTAGTGTTAGAGATTAGGATTATTCATATTGACATGTTGGGATGTGTACTTGAAACACATTTTGGGAATATTCAAGTCAAATCAATTATTCCCTTTTTTGCATTGTATAATAAAAAATATTATAATTTATTTGTAGAGATAGGTGTATGAATTCCTATGTTGATATGAATTTAAAAAAAAAAAAAAAAAAGTAAATTGATTTTGTATATATTTCATTGCTCAGGCATGCTAGGATATAGTAGAGATCTAGTAATCTTAGAGATGGGGATTATTCGCATCAGTTTTTGGGATTATTCAATTCAAATCAGTTCTTCCCTTTTTTGCATTGTATAATTATAAATGTTAGATTTTATTTTAAGAGATACGTGTATCAATATTCATATGTTGAAATGAAGTTTAAAAAGAAAAAACACAAAAGTGATGTTGCATATATTTCATTGGTGAGGCATGTTGGAACATAGTTAGGATGTTGCTATCTTAGACATGGGGATTATTCATATTAACCTATTGGAACGTGCTCTTCATATAGTTTTGGGGATTATTCAATTCAAATCAGTTGTTCCCTTTTTTGTATTGTATAGTTATAAATGTTATATTTTTGAAATAAATGTTTTATGCAGTTCATTGGTGATATATGACCAAACTAAGTTGGGATGTGCAACTCTTAAATGGTCATTGGTGTTCCTATATTTTAAATTTAAGCTTTTCTATTATCTTGTGTATTTTATATACGTACAAAAAGTTAGAAAGAGGAAATTTTACTTGAATTATGTTACTTGAATTATGTTGTAGGTTAAAAATTTTACTCCTTTCGATGGAAGATGAAATGATAGATATTGAAGACATAATAAATGCTGTAGTTATAGAGCCCCAAGTGAATCAATGGAAACCAAGGTTTAAGATGGAGTTTGATACGGAACAAGAGGCATACGAATTTTATAATGCATATGGGGGTAGAGTTGGATTTAGCATCCGGAGGGAGTATTTTAATAATAGCCATAAAACTGGAAAACTTTTAACGAGGTTGTTTACTTGTTGCAAGGAGGGTGTTAGGAAGAAGGATAGAAGGGACAAACATACAAAGACTCCGCGAGCTGAAACAAGAACTGGTTACGGTGCACGAATGCATATTAAATATGATGAAGCAAAGGGAAAGTATTTAGTTGATAATTTTATAGATAGTCACAACCATCCGTTGATAATTGATGAATGCACCCACATGATGCCGTCGCAGAGATGTATTTCTAGCGTCCAGGCCATTGATGTGGACTTGGCTTCAGATTCAGGTATTGCAGCTCGTAATTCATATGAGTTAATGGCAAGGCAAGCTGGTTGTAAAGAATCAGTTGGATACATTAAGCTGGACCAACAAAATTATATAAGGACCCGCAGACAGAATGAGTTTCAATATGGTGTGGCAGCATGGCTCACCAATTATTTTGTCACTCATACTTGTGATGATCCTTCATTTTCTATGCCTTACAGTTGGATGCTGAACAGATGATAACCAATATATTCTGGGCAGATCCTACAATGATTATGGCCATTTTGGAGATGTTGTAACTTTCGACACTACGTACAAACTTGTACATGGCAACCGTCCCTTTACATTGTTTTTGGGTGTTAATCAACACCGGGAGACGTCTGTATTCGGGGTAGCCCTTATGTATGATGAGACGGGAGATTCTTTTGTGTGGTTATTTGATACTTTTTTGAAAGCGATGTCCGGAAAGACACCAAAAACAATTTTGACTGATCAAGATGCAGCAATGGCGAAGGCTTTGATGCAGGTAACTTGAATTAGGATCTCCATTCCTTTTTATATACTGAAAATACCTGTAATGCCTAATTGATACAATGAAGTAAATAATGGAAAAATGTTTATTATTCTAACATGATTTTAGGGTTTATTTTAAATGTCATGACTCAAACATGATTTTATGTTTTTAGGTCATGCCTGGTACAAAACATCATCTATGTACATGGCATCTAATGCAAAATGCACAAAAGCATGTTGGGTTCTTGTTTAAAAGTGATGAACGCATCAAAAATGTGATATCTAAATTAATGTTCGAAATTGAGGAGGAGGAACAATTTATGTCAGAATGGGATTCAATGCTAAGGGTGTATGATATTGTTAGTAACACATGGCTTGAGCATTTGTTTAGCTTAAGACATAGATGGGCCATGTCATTCGTTAAATATACGTGGTGTGCGGGAATGCGCACTATGCAATTGAGTGAAAGTTTCAATGCTCGCTTGAAGGAATACTTATCGAGGCAACTCATTCTTTCTGATTTCTTCACCCATTTTGATAGGCTGTTGTCGGATAAGCGTTACAAGGAGTATGAAGCCGTGTACCATTTTCTGCAGAGGCTTCTGCAAGTTAAATCAAAGTGTGACATGTTACTTAAAGCGGGGGAGACATACACAAAAGTTATATTTTAGCTTTTCTAGGAAGAGTTTTTAACAGCTTGTGTGAGTGATAATGTTAATAGTTGTAGTGACATGGATAACAATGGACAACGTGTTTATAAAGTTACTAGTCGTAATGGGATGCAACGTTCTGTGACTAGAACGGTTGAGGATGAATTATCTTGTTCATGTGGTAAATTTGAAATGAATGGATTTTTGTGCAGTCATATTTTAAAAATCCTTAAGGATTGTATGAACATCACTGAATTTCCTTCTTGATATATATTAAGAAGGTGGACTAAGAAAGCCATAGATGGGAACTTGATGAGATTCCTGGCTGTGAAGTGTTAATGGATCTTAAACTTGAGGTAAGGCGACGACACATGACCCTTTGTCGTATTTTGACCGAAATATCTTCCATTGCATCGAAAGACAACGAGGGATACAATGATTTATTAGTAAAAGCAATGGAATGGAAAAAATCTGCCCAAAGAAGTTGTAGTCGTACTTTGGTTGGCAGTAGAAAGGCTGGTAAAATGCAGAAAAATGGGGAGATAAAAAACAGTGGAATAATTCCCGTGGGCGTCAAGACGAAAGATACATGTAAAGGACAAATGCGTAGGCGCAAATCTCCCACTGAGAAAAATGCCAAGAAGAAGAGCAAGTGTATGAAAAGAATAGTTGAGGTATTTACCAAAAGTTTTTAGTTTACTTTTCATATTGTACTTACATTATTGTGGTCCTTGTTTTACATTAATGTTGTGGATTTATTTGTTATTTCTGGTTGTGTACTGAATCGAATAAAAATTGAATGTTATTATGTTTTAGAAAGCGAATGATAGCATGGTCTCCGAAGTGGGAGGTGGCAGTTGTAGTCAGACGTATTTATTAGTCGATGTTAGTATTGTTACGACTATATCATATCCATTACTTAATTTTCGTGATAGTTGTGCAATTCATTAATTTTGTTTACAAGTTTATTGTAACCTAACAGAAGTACACAATTTTTGTTAAAGGGCAATGAAAATCTAGGTGAATGTGTACACCATCAATGTTATATGCCATCACCACCTATAATGCACAATAGGCAGGCTTTCCAACCTCTGTATAGCCCCGGTATTCATTTTCCGCAACCCATTACTCCATTAAGTAACCAGGTAATTATGTTGAATCAATTGCATTGTATTAGTGGAGCACGCTTTCTAGATTTAATTCCCATAATTTCTAATGAACACTATAAAATGTTGCAGAATTCTATTGGTGATTCACGGTTGTTTTCATCTGAACTATTTAGTACTCCTTCTTCATATGGCGAATCGTGCACGGCTAATTTGGGAAGTCAAATGGTATATATTTTAATATAATTTGTCAGCAAAACCAATATTATTATCTGTTATGAGTTATTTCTTTATTTTATCTAACAATTCCAATTTCTTTCCACGATCATAAATAAAGACACCTACTCCCAACCTCGGGCAATTGACTTCTACTGAAATGTCGCAGCTGCCAAACTCAGAGATTAGTCGTCCAATTCAACAACAATTGTTCAAATATTGAGTAAGCAATGTTTATGTATTTTACTTTATCCATGTCAACTTTGTCTAATTTTCTGCCATTGTATCGAAAAGATAATTTTAAATTATATACATCTCTAATTGGGCTAACCAATGGCTGTGGTATCTACAGCAAGAAAACAAAGGAGGGAGCTTTTGGTTTTCTGAATTTTTGAATGAATTCGTCTGCCATAGTTAAGTGCAGTTTGGTATTGGTACTACCTCCAAATGGGAATTGGGTTGTATGGATGAAGTTTGCATATACTTCCTAGTTTGGTAGGTTAGCATAGTTAAGTTGCACCGGAGGAATTTATATTTCTGTTATTTGCCAATTGTTGTAAACGATTTTATGTATTTGTGGTTCTATGCATTTGGTAATTGTGATAAACTATTGGTTTTTTTGCTTTCACTTTTCACAAGTAAATGTATAGTTTTGTAAATGATGAATCCCAACATTTTCATACTATGCATCTCAACACATAAACTTGCTGCATCCCAACATTTTCCCAAATTGTATCCCAAATTATCCCGACCAGCTGGGACAGATGTATTGTTGCATTAAATAGAATAAGTGGAGGACTAGACTTTCGGCTGACTCACTATATTGTGAAATTAAGTCTTTAGTTTTGATGTTCATATATACTAAATTCAATATTCTCTCACCCACTATGATAATTACATACACCACTACTCAAACTGAATTGTGTAAATCAATGTTTTCCTGGTGGGTCATACAGATGTATTGTTGATAAGTGGTAGAGTAAACTTTCGGCCCTCTCAGTATACTAATATGGAAGTGTGACGTTCATAGTTAAATCACTACTTAAACTAAATTCTCTAAAAAGTTAACTTGATCATAACATCACATTAACTAAACCTTCGCAACAGTACATTCAGTCAGGGGTTTGGTAAAAAATGAAAACACAAATTCATAAGCAATACATAAGTGTATAAAGGTCTTCAAATATGATCCATTTTCATCATATCACAACTGTTAATGACATAATAATTTGAGTCAGTGCGTCACCAAAATTTAATAAAGTGCATCCCAAGTTTGTCCCTACTAGCATCCCAAAATTGGCAAACATTAGGATCCAAATAATTTCGTATGATGAATCCCAACATTTTCATACTGTGTATCTCAACACACAAAATTGCTGCATCCCAACATTTTCCCAAGTTGTATCCCAAATTATCCTCACCAGCTAGGACAGAAGTATTGTTGCATTAAATAGAATAAGTGGCGGACTAATCATCGGAAGTTTCAACATTATAAAGAGATCACAATTACATCACTAATTGCTGGTCATATCAACAACCACCAACATCAGAACTTTCAACATTATAAAAGCAGACATACTCAGCAAGGAAATGTTCTCCCACAACTAAATTATGAAACATGTTCTCAGCAAGCTCAACCAATGTGTAAATCCATTTTCATCATATCATAACTGTTAATCACATATTATTTGTGGATACACGTCACCAAAATATTCCTACCTCGCATCCCAACATTTTCCTACTGTAAATCCCAACATTTTCGTACCTTGCATCATAACATTTTCCTGGTGTAAATCCCAACATTTTCCTACCTTGCATCCTAACATTTTCCTAGTGTAAATCTCAACATTTTCCTACCTTGCATTCAAAGTCATTTTCCTAGTAAGTACTTCGTTACATCAGTACTTTCACTTGAGACTTGCATCAGTACTTTCACCTATATATATATATACTACCATTATGACCGTTTGTAAACTTTGTTACCATTGAAAACCCCTGTATGTCAAAATCCCTTACATATAGGATGTAGGTACAAAATTATCTTCTTTCACATACCAACTTCTATTTTCCTCAGTCTTCTATATATCTGCTTATTCCATGGCTTCATCAACCAACAGTGGTGGTCATCCAAGAACTGTAAGTATAAGTCTCTATTGCAATAAAAAACATTCCTACTTCATTGTTTTCGTCCATTATTTATACATATTTGATATATATGGTTATATATTTTTTCACTATGCATTTGAGTACCTCAGACAGGTTAGTTCCGGTGAGTTTAGAGACCTAAGGTATGCAATTAAATATTGTGGGTGTGGAGAAAAAGCAGACGTTAGAATTACAGAGAAAGGGAAGAACACAGGGAAGCTGTATTATGTATGTCATCATCCACAAAAAGTATGCAGCTTTTGGGAGTGGTGCTACCCCATTTCATCCAATATCACTGAAATGGTAACTCGACCACAGCACCTACCACTGGATGAAGGAATGACCGGGTATGATAATTTGGTGGAAGATGTTGATAAAATTAAATGTGAATCTGGACAACTTGCATCAAGTGTAAGAGTAATTGAAGCAACACATGAATTTGTTAAGCTACTAGCTAGGGTAACACTTTTTATGAGTGTTTTAGCTTTTCTAGTATCTCTGTTTGCTTTATGTAAACTTTAGGTGATGTAAGGTTAATTTTCTAGTATCTCCGACTCAATATTAATGAAATTTATTTGAATGATGTGTAAAATAGTAAAAAACATAGCAT